ATCGCAGGTGAGTTTTTATATCCCTGCGGCATTTTTGTAAATTGCATTAGCCTCTTTCCTGTAAAGAATGATGTTTTTTCTTTGTCCTTTTCTTCGATTTCGATCTGGAAAAAACCATCTTTTAGATCGATTAATGTAAAATATTTTTTGTTATATAGCAAGTTTAGCAATTCTCCAATCTTAGGAATCTCAAATTCATCCTGGACTACCAAATCATTTAATCGCCTTAAATCTAAACAGAATCTCAATTCTCCACTTTTTTTTCTTGTTAGTACAACAGGATTCAGCCAATTGGATTTGCTTGGTTCGATTATACCTTTTACTTCCAAATCATTAACCAATTTCTCAAAATCATTTTTGTCTCTCTCTGATCTTATTGGTCGCGTCCAACTTACTGGGCCTTTCCCTTCAGTATCAATTTTACATTTGATAGGCATTTTTCTCTTTTCTGCTTCTATATTCTTAACCAGATTATTGCTGATTAAAATTGTTTTATCCTTTTTATTTTCCACCACATTAAATTTTTCTAAAATATTTTTTCCTCTATATTTAAATCTCAAATTTACTACTCCTTTAGTTTTATTACAAGTACCATCAAAATTTTTATAAATTTTCTCAATTGGTTCAATTTCTATGTTTTTCAGCTCTTTTAAAAGTCCTGTGCATATCATACTTTCTGATGCACCTGTATCAAAAATCGCCTCAATTTTCTTCCCTTGTATTTCAATTTTTCTTACATCTATATTATTAACGACAGTCTTTATGTTATTATTATTTAAATTTCTATTGCAATTAGTCGCAATATGTCCATCCTTCCCACATTTATAACATTTTATTTTTTTCTTACTGCAATTGGTTGCTTTGTGACCCTTTTCATTGCACAAATAACATCTTATCTCGTTTTGTTTTCTTTTTTTATTTTCATCATAATTATCCATATTCCCTTTTAAATCAATTCTAAGATTATGCTCGTATGAACTTTTTTCATATTCTTTGACCCGTTTCATCACACTTTCTATACTTGATTCTACTGAATAACAAATCATTTGCAGTACATTTGGTAATTTTTCTCTCCTCAACTTTTTAAGAATTTCTTCATCCGAATAGTTTCTAATTCTTGACCATTCGCTTAATCTTGTAATATACTCATACCATGATTCATTATTATATTTTCTTATGGAACTTATGTCTCGTTCCGCACAAAATTC